TTCAATGACAAAATATTTTTACTGATTAAAGTTGAACTATAGAGAGTGGAGGGCAGATCAGAGCAGCTCATGTTCAGTGCATGTCTTCCTCACCATCCTCTTCCTCTGCACTGCTTGGAGCGGCTGCAGCAGGCTCTGAAACAGTTAAACAACTTATCACATAGCCATATAAACACTTCACACAGGTGTAATGTTTTATTTATGTTAAATGTCTTAAAATAAAAACACAAGAAAGTCTTTTGTACCAGGAGCTGCAACTTGCTCTGCTGCAGGAGCTAAACAACAGAAATACACTGAATAAATCAATCCAGTTGAAACTCTAAGGTGATGAATATAATCACAGGACTCTAGTTGGATGCATAGATCATCTGAGTGTAAATATATTCATGTTTAAAACGTCTTACTGTCTGCTGTCTCTGAACTGGTGCTGCTGGTGTCTGAAACCAGAGGAACAAGAAAACAAACAGATGAACTGGTGAATAACCAATTCGGGCTCTTGGTGAGTTGAACGTACAATTTACACCTAAATTCTGCCATTTCATAATTTTTAACTTCTGTTTCTTGCCTCTGAAAAAAAAAATTGTACCTGTTATCAGTTTGTATCTATTTCAGTTGATTATTTTTGAGGAATGATGGGAGAAACTCTAATAAAAAGGCTCAAATGTGACTTTTAACTCAATTTAATTGTTTGCTATTTTTCTGAAAACGTTGCATTGCACCTTTTATTCCATTTATTTTCTGATCTCCCTTTAGGCAGATCAACTATTATGATTATTGATACGTATAATTTCTGAAGCAAACTATGATTATAAATTCATTCAAATCATTGGTGATCAAAGAACGTAAATAAATTCACTTGGCAACAGAAGTCATTGTTTTTGGACCAAAACTAAAAAGGCATGAAGTGGTAAAGGAGTGAAAGGACAAATCGCTCACCTGTTTAATAATAAAGTCACAGGTTTTGTTTTAAAACCATTTTAATCAACGTGTTTCTTACCTGATGGTCCTCCTCCGTAATACTGGGATTCATCTGCAAAAAATGGTTACATTTGTTTATATAAAGCTGAAAATGTTCAATCAATTTACTTTATAGACTCACAGAGAACATATTTATATTTATGTTAATTTATACTCAAATTTATAGTTTTTCTTTAAATCTGGCTGTTAGAGGCGACATGATCATCTGAACTCTGATTTTAATGCAAACTCTTTTAGTGGAAATTTACTTTTTTTGTTTGATTTTCATGCAGATTTATGATTCATTTTTTATCATTTTAGTGTTTCTGCTTTTTATCTTAGTGAAGAAAATCTAATAAACACACTTTAAGCGTAAGTTTTTATTTTTGAACAGCTCAGTTTCTTATTCAGACTGTGTAGAAATTCCTTATGATTTATTATTGCTTTTCTTTTAGGGTGGAAATTGGTGACCTGTTCAACTTTTTTCTTAGAAAATAACAAATATTATTTTGGATTTCTGCTCCAGACCCAAAAGCAGAAATGTTTAATCATGTCTTTAAACTTGCTGTTTAAAGACATGATTCAGCTATCATGAGGAAATAAATGTTTTTAACAAATCTAAGCATCTTTTACAAAACTAGGCAGAATAACTGTTAAGCAAAGAACTTTCCAACGTTTCTAACACTCGGTTGCTACACAGAGGCCTGAGTTTCCGATTCTAGTTAAAACGATATTGAAGTTTTTTTTATTTTTAAATAAAAGTATTTTCTCTGGTTTACCAAAGAACAACAAAGTTTTTCATGTTTAAAAAGACAAAAAACTCCAAAACTGATTTCTTCATTGACGTTAATGGTCCAAAGCATTTATATTTACTTTAATGTGAAGGAAAACACTGATATTTAAATAGTCAGATGTTTATTATAAGCTCTAAATGAGAGTTAAACTGCAGTCTGAGTTATAGCAGAAGAACAATGTGGTTCATGTGAAAACAGTGATTTTAACTTTGTAGATGAAATTGCTGAATTTAGAGTCATTCAGATTCTGTTTTAACATCTTAAAATATTTGGTATTAACCTGGTTTATTTTCCTTAAATTTTCCTTTAATAAACCTGACTACATTCAGAGCTGCTTCCTTTTTTGAATCCCTGAATGGGATCTTTCAGCTGAAGAAACAAAATAATAATAATAAAAACAAACTTTTGGTTCCATCTTGTGGTACGACATCAAGACAGAGCTGATAGGTTGAAACATCTTTGTTTTCACATATCTACTTGTAATAACAGCATCAAATACTGATTTTTCATTCTATAGCATTCACCTACATGTAACTGGAAGTTACAGCCAATGTCTCAATGTCAGTTAAAATATTTTAACTGTGATTTTAGCTAAATATTTTAAGCAGTGCATCTGAGAAAACAAGTCTTACCAGGCTGGTCAGGAGAGACAACGTTCATGCTCTCTGAAACATCAAGAACAGAAGTTCAGAGGAAACATTTTCTGTTGGCTTAACACTGGTGTTTCACTGTGGACTGCAGGGGGCGCTAATTGGCAACAAGCTCATTAATTTGCCAGCAACGTGTTTGTGAACAGTCCTCAACTAAATCATGATCATCTAAAATCATTTATGTCATTCTTTTTCCATCTTGTAACAGTTTGTATCTTTTTATGTTGCTTTATTTAGCAGTGATTTAAAAGGAAAGAAACTTTATAACTTTTTTAGAATAAGAAGAATATGTTTAAATATGAAACTGTCATTCACTTTGATGGAAGATTCGTCGATATGCTGATGACACACAACTGTTTATTCAAGTTGTTGTAAATAAGTGACTCACTGTCTGGAAAGATTAGTGAATCACTGGAATAGTTTGATCAAGATTTAAACCTTAGACACATTTTCAAACTTTAAAGTTTATGTTTGGTTTTATATCAATATTTTCATTCATTTATTTTTTTAAGAAGAATTGACTGAAATATCCAGAAGATTCAAGATTATTTGGGTCAACAGTTTGTTACTGACCTGTTGGAGCTTCATCAGACAATGAATCTTTATCTAACAAAAAAAAAAACAGTTAGCAATAAACATTTTAAGGACATGTCATTACAGTTTTGGTTTACTTTATGATGAGAGACATCTGAATGATTGTTACCTGTTGATATGGCTTGACTTCCCACATCTGAAATCATAAAACATCATCAATGAACACAAATGTAATTTAAACAGAGGTGATTTTTAGATTATATTTTTAATTAAATGGGATATAATCTTACCACTGGTGTCAAAGTCTCCCTTTACAAGCAGGACAAACAGAGAGAAGAGAAGAATAATTTTCCTGCAACACAAGCACAACGTTTAGGCTGAGGAGGAGATTTTCTTCTGCTGCAGGACATTTATGAAGCTTTAACTTTTATTCATAAAGATCAAACATGACAAAAATGTATCACTAGACCAGTTAGATGTTTAACAGTTTGACAAAAACAGTAAATCCAATTGAGAATCTACAATATTACAGTGAAGAAGTGTGCATAGAAAGGCAGAAGAAAACTGTTTGATTACATCAAAAACAGACTTAAAGTTTGCAAAGAACTGGAGACAAGAAATTTCTCTGAAATACATTTTTCCAAACCTTCCTCCTTATTTGCACCTACGTTTCTCTTTCTCTGTATGTCAGTGCTTACAGTGACATAGAATAAAAAAGTTATAAAGTTTCTTTCCTTTTAAATCACTGCTAAATAAAGCAACATAAAAAAGATATAAACTGTTACAAGGAGGAAAAAGAATGACATAAATGATTTTAGATTATCATGATTTAGTTGAGGACTGTCCACAAACACGTTGCTGGCAAATTAATGAGCTTGATGAAAATAAACAGAGCACCAACGTACCTGGTGAGCATGATGCTTTGAGGTCAGATGGGTCCCTGATGGTGCGACAGGCAGCTGAGCAGCTCAGGTGGCGACAGGAAACCGTGACAGTACTTCAGTATTGCACTGCAGAATCTTCTGACTCTGAGTCTCTGCCAGCGGTTTATATATTGGCCTAAATGTCATCCGGGGAGAGGACGGACCAACATGTATACCTCTTTGTGTGTGTGCGCGCGCGTGTGTGTGTCAGTATATTATGTATGTGTGTTTTAGCGTGTGGGAGTGAGTTTCCAGTTTCTGTGCTAGTGCTAGCATAAGGATCTGAAGAAGACGTTAAAATTTAGGCTCTTTATAATCTGTGTCAGACTTAATTTCAGGAACTATAGGAAGAAGGTACCACTTTACAATAAGTCTCCCCTTATAGATGGCTATTAAATCATTAGTCAATTAATCTGTAAACACTTTATAAATCATTAATAGCTGTTTATTGCTCATTAATTAAGCTCGAGAAGGAGACTACATGCTAAAATATTATTTTACAAATGCTTATTGTGCTTACAAGGTGGTCTTAAATGTTTAGTATAGTAACTCTAGATAAAATACATGAAACGAGTTGGCTCACTATTTCACAAGAAACCAGTGGATTTATTCCCCTTCTCAGCCTTAATAAATGCATAATAAACAGTTATAATGATTCATAAAGGGTTTGGAGTTGAATTAATTACATGTCTATTAGCTATTTATTATCATCTATGCGGGGAGCCTTATTGTTACCAACAGAACAATCTCACATTTTTATATAAATTCATCATTTTGATGATTTCAACCTGAGCACAGTTTTGATTTGCAAACAAACCTGTCAATATAACAGCAAATTAGGAAAGTAGCACTGATTAAAGGACAAAACAGACTTTCCGTTGTGCTAATAATTTATAAAAAAATAAAGATATTTTCGTGGTGTTGCAGTACATCAAAGCTAAATGCAAACACAGAGCTGTCCTTAGAACAATTGAAGGGCAGCGCACACAGCCACAGTGTCCGTGGAATTTCCTGGCGTCCCCACAGTTCAGGGAATCCCCCTCGAAACAAACACGCTCAGTGTCGACTCCTGCAGATGGAGTTTCACCGACTCAGATCCTCTGATAGAACCTGAAGAACAATCAGAGCAGAACAACAATGCCTCACCTGGAACCAGATCCACTGCGGCCTGAAGCTCCGCAGACGGAGGCCAGCTCAGATCGGACCCGCAGCTCTGACCAAAGAAGGTGGTCATTGTTGTTGAAACCCGTCTGTTTCTGAACAGACCACCAAATATGCAGCTTACTGTATAAAGGCCATTATCCTCTTTTTGTTAGTATTTCTTTATTTTCAGTTGCAAAGACAATCCAACAGTCAGTTTTTTCACATTTAACCAAATTGGTGGCGTTAGTTTACATCCAATAATCTCCCTTCAGTTCTCTGATTTACCTCAGAAGTCCAGTTCATGATGTCACGTCAAGGCGGACAAGTGGTGAGATTTAAAATGCTCAGTCACAGGGCTAACTGCGATTAGCAGCACACGCAGCTAGCATTACGCTGCTCTGCGTTGTGTGTAATCGAACACGAGGCGTTGGCACGTTGGGTCTGGTGGTCGGTTGGTCTTGTTGGCTGAAAGGTCACCAGCTAAAATCTCAGCTGGCACCAGATGTGCAGGAATGTCGGTTCCTACGTTTAAGCTGCTTCCACTGCATGTGACCAGATACACACACGAACATGTTGATCATCAAGCCTGCAGACTTTCAGCACCACTTCCAGACCAAAAGAACAAATTAGTTTACATACTTATAAAGTTGCTTCCAAGTATTTTTGATATAGTTTGTAGTACAAATGTCTTGGTGCATTTGAAATACGACTAAACTAACAAGTAACTTTTCAGCAACATACAGGAGCTTGTTTTGAGTAGATAATTCCTTAACATTGATGAAAAAGTATTAGCTCCATTTGCAGATGTTTCACTTATAAAACTGGAAAAATGTTTTGTTATAAGCGAAATTATCTGCCAATTCAACTAGTATTTTTTCATCAGTATTAAGAAATAATCGACTCAAAACAAGCTCTTATATTTTGCTGAAAAGTTACCTGAAAGTTTTGTCTTATTTCAAATGTACTAAGATATCTGGACTAGAAACTGGACCAAAAATGCTTTTGGGTTTTTTTTAGTGTAGTTTTTGTTTAGGTTAGAGAGGTAACCAATAAACCTTTCAGCATAAAAACACTGTCAACTCTTCATGTGTTAAATGAGGTGTAATGAAGTTTTTTAAATTAATAATCTACAGCAATTCTGTGGTTTTAGATGATGAGATTATATGCGTCTAATATAAGGATGTTAAATTCAGTCTTCAGAGACTTGGTGCTCCAAGACTTCGCCCTTGACATGAACTTAGCAAAAATGACCCATTGCCATTTGTAGTCCAGTTATGTTGAAATAAAAAAATCAAAGAAAGTGACTTCGCTCTCCAGGTAAGGATTCCAACTTTAGGGGACTTTCCAGGGTTTTTCCCAACTTCAGGGTCCAACTTTTTTCGTCATTTTAACAAAAAAAAAAAAAAATGTTTCACGTATCACAATCCCCTCACAAATCAGACAACATGTGGGTAAAACTGAGGTTAGCTCACTCAGGTTTTAATGCAATCACCCGAACTTTAATAAGCCTCAGTATCTCTGTTATCAGAAACCTGCCGCCAATCTCTGAGGAATTTCTCTGCTTTCGTTTGAATATTTCTCAATCTTCTCTGTTATGTGGAGTGACTTATGACTAAAAAGTGGCTAAAAGATGAGACTCTTTATTGATATAACATTTAACGGCACGTAAAGATGTTGTTTCTGCTTGGAGGGACACAGAAAACGTAGGCCCATATGTATGTATGGGTCTGCTGCCGTAATGGAAACACGTAGGGTAAAATGGATTCAGTCCCTGGAGATCCCCACCTCCCCTCTCACGGACACGCAGAGTGATAATAGTTGCAAAGGGGGCTTACAAGGGGCGGTGGGCAGGTAAAGGGGTTTTTTCTCTGCAAGGGTTGTGTGGTATTTGTGTATCAAAGCCTCTTCTGTCTGGAAACGTCTTTCTGTGTAAAAGGAGAGTTGACTGAACAGGCGAAGAAGCTTTTTAAAGCAGCACAGCTTCATTCAGCCAACGCAGTAGCTTTGAAACACTGTAAGGTCAGATTTACATGTTTATAGAGCTTCCATCCATTAATCAGTCCATCCATCCTTTCATCCATCCATTTCTTGATCCTATGTCTGTCTGGGGTTGTCCCACAGGAGGACGGATGTTCGCTGAACAGAGGATGACTGTAGGGAACATTTCTCCCTCGAAACCGGGTTGTTGGTGAAAATAATTACCATGATACCAACCTTTCCTCGGAGAACAGCGAAGGAAAGCCAGGAAATATTTATCTCAAAATGGATTTACCTCAAACAGAAACAGACAAAAGTGAGCACAGCCAGACATGACATGTTCTTCCTTTGCCTGATCTCCGGATTTCCTCCGAGCTTTATGGATTTCAGCTTTGCGGTTTCTGCATAATCCCAGTTTTCCGTGATGTTTCGCTCCACTACGGCTTGATTTCCACTGCCGATGGAAACTACTTCACTTGTACAAACTAAACTTTCTTCTTGTACCGGCTTTAGTTGAAAAGTCAAAGAACACCAACCTGGAACATTTTGATGACGTCATATCTCTGTGGATGCCGATTGGTCGGGACAATCGGCATCCACAGCCGATTGTCCCGACTGTGGGACAATCGGCCGAACTCCAGAGATGATGCTGTTCAAAACGTTTGAACAGCATCATCTCTGGAGTTCGGCCATATTCCTCAATGTTTTATAACAATGGCCAAAAGTCCAACATTCAAGTAACAAAACAAGAAGCAGTTAACTGTTTTTGTGTCAGTGGTTCCCCTATAATTATACATTAATAATAATTTTTAGTTTGCTCATCAGTAAGAAAAGAAGTGTCTCTTTTCAAGTACTTCTGTTGTCACTCAACTCAAACAATGTACATCTCAAAAACTATCATTTATTTCAGTTCTTCTGTTCAAAACATTGAAATTCACAGTCATATGAATTACTTGCACACAGTTATAAATTTCAACAGCAGAGAAAACATTTAAAGGCCCTTCATACAGAAGTTGTGCCCAGTCTGCGTGTATCTGAGTGTAATTATGGAAAATTGAGAGAAAGGAAAAATTTAAGTGAAAAAAAGTGCACATGAATTAATTTGATGAAATAAAGTGATTATATGTAACATTAGCAGGAGTGAAACAATGCAGGATATTGGCTTCATTAGAAATTTTTTTTTAGCATTTATAGAAAAACTAAGGATTTATAATTTTAGTCTTTACAAATTTTTAGCAAATCAAAACTTGTAATTGTTATAAAGTGCTCAAATACAGATTATTTTTAATCTAATCGTAGATTGATAGTTAATCACATTCACATCTATCCTTTTCCATTCTTTATTTTTTCTTACTTTCTAAGTATTTTGAAAGTATTTTTTATTTAAACACTTATTTTTGTTGATTCTTAAAGAAAACCAGCTCAGGAGCGATCTGCGACATTTAACCTCCCAAACCAAACAGCTCAAAGCCCAAGACAACAGAGGGAGTCTATGTGGCCGAGCCAGGCTATCGTTGATATTCACTTGCAAAAAATGTTGTCTTCTTCCAATTGGACATCTCTGGCAATACGTAAAGCTGGTTGGCTACCGATGCTATCCATCCAGCTTTACTGGCTGGAGAGGGTTTGTAAGGAACTGACTGTGGTGGCCTTGTTACTGTGACTGGGCTTGGTTCTGGTGGGCCATCCCCTTCTTTTGGCCGCCCTGGAGTATCTCTCCTGGTGGTTTGGCACCAAGTCCCGATTTAGTTCCCTCCTTGGTGCTGACAGACTTTCTGTTGGGGTCTTGTGCCACTGAGGGCCAAATAAATGTGTTTTTTCAAATGCAATTTTAACAAAATACATTTAAGGCACGACTCTGAACTGAAGCAACTGTGCACTATCACTGATTAATGTATTTAGTTCATATAGTTGAAGTTCAAATTGTCTGAGCCTATCTTAAGATGACACAATGTCCAAAGTAATCAGCAACATCACAACAAAAATTATTTTATAAAAGTTGTCTCTTAAGCAGAACCTCTTTGGTTTTTACCAAACTGACTGGGGGGGCAAAGGTCAAACTCCTCACACTGGATGTCCCACAACAACAACAGAATGTCCACATTTGGGACATGTCCTCCTGAATGTGTTTTTCATTAAAGTCAGGAATTTAGTTATTAGCTGTCAGGATCCCAGCAAACTGATCTTTAAAAGTTATCTGGACGAGGTTCAGCCAGTCGTTGGTGAGCCTGAGCGTGTGCCAGCACAGTAATAAGCTTCATCTCTCAGATCGCCATCAACGGGATGAATTACAGACATACCAGACGGGATCAGTGCATGAAACCGATCCAGGGTCAGCTGATATGAAACTGAAGCTTATTGTGTCTGTCTCCATCAACTCATCCAGCCTGAAGCCACTTTGGTGCCCACCAACCATAACAATTAGCAACGCTAAATCCCCTTTCATGCTGGCCTGAGCAACATCTGGGCCACGTTGGATAATAATAAGGGCTTAGAGAAATCTAGATATGTTATTGCTGTGTCCAGTGTGGGAAATGTGGCTTCCTGGATATCTTTTCCAACTTTTTGAGGAAAATACTGCAATCAAACGTGACTATTATGAAGGAAAAACCATCTTAATGTAGAGGCTACATTCACACAATAGGCTCCGTTTCAATTTTCGCTGAAATCCAAATTTTTTGTGTGGTTGTTCATATTACTAATTATAGCTAAAAACCAGCGGTCAGGTCTGAAACCTGGGAGTAGTGATGAACTCTGATGTGAACCTTCAGAGCCACATAAAGACAGTTACAAAGACGGGCTTCTATCACCTGAAGAACATTTCCAGAAATAAAGGACTAATGTCTCAGCGAGACCTAGAGAAACTCATCCATGTGTTTATCTTTAGTCTAATTGATTACTGCAACAGCTTCTTCACAGGTCTGACTAAAAAAATAAATCCTCCAACCGCAGCTGATCCAGAACGCTGCTGCTGGTGTTCTGACTAAAACTAGGAAGATGGAGCACATAACACCAGTTTTAAAGTCCCTACACTGGCTCCCTGTAGCTCAGAGAAGATACTTTAAAATACTGTTGTTAGTTTATAAATCACTGAATAGCTTAGCACCACAATAATTAAAGATCTGCTGTTGTATCAACCTTCCAGACCTCTCAGGTTCTGGTTCTGCTCTGCATCACCAGAACCAGAACCAAACATGGAGAAGCAGCATTCAACTTCTATGCACCACAAATCTGGAACAAACTTCCTGAAAACTGCAAAACAGCTGAAACACCGAGTGCCTTTCAATCCAGAGTTAAAACCCACCTGTTTCAAGTTGCTTTTGAAACATTATAAGTGAAACATTGATATTTGCTGATGTGGAATAATGCCACAAGAAAAATGTTACGTTTCAATTGTTGACTGTTTTCTATGACGGTATTTTTTGTGTTTTTATGATGTAACACACTTTGAATTGCCTTGTTGCTGAAATGTGCTATACAGATGACTTGACTTCATAACATGAAGGAAGTTAATATATAGAAACCATAACTAATATCAACATGCTTCCAGTCAGAGATGTAAGTGTTGGCATCGTGATACGATGTGCTCTAGTGACACGGACATCTTTCATAAATTCAAAGTCATAATTTTCAGCCACTGATTTACCAGGTTTTCTGGTGCAACATTAAGACATGTCTTACATCAACGACATAAAAGTCAGATAAATGTGATGCGACCATTTAGACTGCAGATGTTTGAAAACAATTGGATACTTATCCGAATAAATTGGATTTTTTGGGGGTGAAAAGATTGGAATAGTACAAAATCCCTTGATTTGGATATGAGGAAATCCTCTCAAAAGCATTGCAACAGATTTAGCATTCCCCATCCATTTACCTGAATCTTGACGCTCGGCTTTCTGTTTTCCTTTTTTATTTGTGGTCCAAGTTTTACTTATTTTAAATGAGTTTTATTGTCACAGATGTTGTGTTGGTTGTAGTCTGTGCGGTCTCATTTGTTAGCATAACCCATCTGAATTAGAACTTCAATCAGGCCATTGCAATTCCTTAATTTTGTGTTAAGGAATTGAAATCTGTATGGAGGTGAACATGTTTTCCCATCACTCTATTACCCTCTAACTAATGAATGCTGCCACCTACTAATGTGAACTATAAATGGATAAAATCAGTTAAATGAATCAACACTGAAAAGTTTCCACAAAACCTTTTATTTGTCGATCTTTTGTAAACAATTTTAAGAAAACATCTAAATCAGTCAACAACAAATCACTAAGTAATTGAGATATAAATGCATGGAGCTGCTTCACTGGACTGCAGTTATTTACTGTTATTACTCGGTGTACAACACAGTAAATGGTGTAATTAGATGCAGTACAATTGTTTGAGTATCATTTACCTTCAACAAGACTGACTTACATTCAGAAGTACAGATTAAGCTCAGCTTCTGTTAATTTGATCGGGCATATGGTGAGATGAACATCCAGATGTCATAGAAAAACAATCCAGAAACAATAAACAAATCTCCTTTCTAAACACAAAGATGAGAGATTACCAGCTCCCTCTGCTGGAGTTTTGCTTTTATTTCACCAGTACAATTTTTATTTTATTTTTTTGCTTGTTTTGTTTTGTATTTTTCTAGTAATTTATTTTAGGTGAGATCAAGATGACTAAATATCTCATAACCAATTGGTCTTGGAAAACGTACATTTTACTCAAGTTTGTTTTAAGTGACTTACTTTCGACTAGAGTGCATTAGATTTTTACCCAGTAAAAAATGATTTTTACCCATGGCAACCATGCTAATCATCTGTGTGGCTTCTCATGTGTTTAGTTAAACCACGTCTCAGACTGAAACATTTTCCACAGGTTAGGCATGAAAAAGGCTTCTCACCTGTGTGAATTGTCATGTGATCAGTTAAGCTACATTTTTGATTGAAACCTTTCCCGCATGTCAGACACTGAAAAGGCCTCTCGCCTGCGTGAATCATCATGTGTCGAGTTAAATTGTGTTTCTGACAAAAGCTTTTTCCACAGTTCACACAAGAAAATGGCTTTAATGCAGCGTGATTTCTCATGTGAACATTCAAAGAATATTGATCGATAAATCTTTTCCCACAGGTCTTACACTGAAAAGGCTTCTCACCTGTGTGCCTTCTCGTGTGAATAATCAGTTGAGATTTTGTAATGAAATGTTTGCCACACGTAATGCATTGAAAAGGCTTCTCTCCCGTATGAACTCTCATGTGAACAGTTAAATCACTATTACTACGGAAACCTTTTCCACAATTGACACAAAGAAAAGGCTTCTCACCTGTATGAATTCTCATGTGAAGAGTTAGATCACTTTTACAACTGAAATATTTTCCACAATCAATGCATAAAAGAGCCTTCTCACCTGTGTGCCTTCTCATGTGAGCATTCAAAGAACCTTTTGTACTGAAATTCTTGCCACAAGCAGTACATGGAAATACCTTCTCACCAGTGTGAATCCTCATGTGAATACTTAGATCACTTTTACGACTGAAACCTTTTCCACAGTTCATGCATAGAAAAAGCTTCTCAGTTATCTGATCTCTCGTGTGATGTTTTAAATTATCTTTTTGGCTGAAACCTTTTTTACATGAGCAAGGTCTCTCGCAAGTGTTACTTGATGTCTTTTTAGTTAAGTCACTATTTCGATTTGAACCGCCACCATGCTGTCTGGTTTCCTGATGCCTCTTTTTTTGTTTCTTCTCTTCATCTCTTCTGGCACCAAAGTCTTTATGATTTCTTCTTTCCTGATTTTGTTTCTCAGCTTCAGCAGCTTTTTGAAAGATGACTTGGGTCCTGGTTGGTTCTGATTCCGTTTGGTTTGTTTGCTCATAAACAGGAATTGACATTAATGTATCAGTTTCCTGTTTTAATGGAAGTTGTTCTTCATCCTGACTGCAGAAAACTTCTTTCTCTTCTACTTTAATCTGCAGATATTGTAGATCCTCCTGCTCTTCTTTTATCTGCTGATCTTCTGGTTCTTCCTGTTCTTGTTTCACCTGCAGATGTCCTAACTCTTCCTCGTCCAGAGTGGATCTCCTCTCCTGCTTACATAGCTCCTCTTTGTAAATATCATACTGTAGGTGGTCTGGACAAGAAAACAACAACAAAAAAAGTTATTGTAAATTTTTAGTAAATGGGAGCAGAATTTCATTGGTTTACAAAGACATTAACAAGCACTTGACACCATCTCACAGCAAACCATCTCCATATGCATTAACTGAGAAACCGCATTCAAAGCTAAAGATATAGCTATAACCTTCAGTTATTTCTGAATTTTTCAGCTTTTTCATATCTTTTACTGTTTTCATAAAATCTTGCTTCAACATCTTTGTTGCATGAATATTTCCTCTTTACAATGTAAGCCAGTGATTGAATTATTCAACTGCTGGAGTCGTCACTGTAAAATTGAAAATTCTTCTAGTCTCCAAACCAATTCTTAGGACTCACTCAATTTTTACTCTTTCTACACATATCATACAACAAAACATATGAATTTGTGTCTGGATTCAGAGAATGTAACACTCATTGATGAGGGACTTGCAATTTTCTGGGAAATCACCCCAAAGTATCGAGGCATCGATGACAATGCATTGCATAGAGACACAGATACATGTTTCAACAGGTAACTTCTCATCGGAGAGGTCAAAGGTCACATGTGGGGTACCCCAAGGTTCAGTCCAAGGACCCCTCTTATTCAATATTTATATGCTCCCACTAGCTCGGTTTACAACAGGAAATAAGATTAGTTACCATAACTACGCAGATGATACTCAGCTCTACATTAAAATGGCACGAGGTGACTCTGAACCATCCAATCACTGAACAGATAAATGTGTGGATGTGCCAAAACTTTCCCCAGCTGAACAGAAACAAAACTGAAGTTATTATCTTTGGACCTAAAGAGGAGCGATCTAGAGTTATAGATCTACAGTTATAGATCTAGAGCTGTAATGCACAGCATTACAGCTGTGCATTGATCTACAGTCAATGCACAGCTTCAGTTATCACAACTGAAAAGTAATGATCGGGCCCGAAACCTGGGAGTAGTGATGGACTCTGAGCTGAACCTTCAGAGCCACATTAAGACAGTCACAAAGTCGGCCTTCTGTCACCTGAAGAACATCTCCAGGATTAGAGGACTAAGGTCTCAGCGCGATCTAGAGAAACGTATTCATGCATTTGTCTTTAGTCATAGATTATTGCAACAGCATCTTCACTGAAACACTGAGTTCCTATAAATTTAGACTGTTAAGAGATGGATGATGATGATGATGATGATGATGATGATGATGATCTGTTGATCTGTTTAGAGTTGCTTTTGAACCATAATAAATGAAACATTGACTAACACTAGCTAACTATAACACACACTCTGTTCTGACTCCCCTGTGAGCTTTAACTAATTCCACTCTTCATTCAACAAATGACCCTACAGTTTAGCTTTGTGAGGAATGTCCTACACAGATTTCTGACACTCCTTAACTGGGAATTTTACAGTAACTCAATAACGTTTTCTAGTATGTTTTGCAGATTATTTTGCTTTTTTCTGCTGATTTTGTTTATTTCTTACATTTCTTTCACCAAAAAAATATTCAGTTTACAGCATTTGTACTGCATTTTTTTGTTTACCATTTTATTTAATATTAATTATTATTAAATTATTTATTATTATGAGATATTATATATTTTGTATGTAGTACGAATTCTAATTACATTTTAACAATTACTACTTCCATTACTGTTATTATTCCCCATTGCTTACTTCATCAGCCTCACATTGTTCTGTTCCTTCAAATGAAAGTGTATTATTTTACATGGTCAAAAAACAATAATAATAATTTTAAAAAAAGAAAGAAAAATAAAACACAGCTGAGGTCTTTAGCACCATTGGTTCCATTTTCTTTTTACAGAATAAGCCGTTGCTGTTAGAACATCAATTGCTGTTGAGTTAATTTGCCTGTTAAAAAACATTTGTACGGATCAGTTATTAAAATGATCCTCATACCGAAATATTCATATATTTAGACCTTAACCTTCATCCATCGCTGGTGTTTCCTACCTATCCGGTGTAAAATAATCCGGGGACTCCGGGAGAAATCCAGCAGTCTGCGCTGATCATCCATCTCTTAATCCGACTTGACGGTTATTTTTTAACTCTGTGAATTGCTCGTTGATAAACTCTCGTTGAAGCTTGATTTAGGACATGTTTTTACAGAAAACAAGTTCATCAGAGATCATGGGCCGTCTTCTTCTTCTTCTTCTTTTATGACTGTTGGCATCCATATTGTTGCATTACCGCCACCTTCTGGTTATTACGATCATCACGTCTGAACCACATGCACTTCTTCACAGATTTATTTTTATTTTCAAAAACAGGAGAATTTTGTTGTGATTTAACTTCAGGCCGTGAGGAAAACGTTTATGTTTTTGTTATATTATTTGGTGTATGTAAACCTCTGATTTCAAGTTTATCTATTATTCCAACTCAGTAAACACAAAGAAGAATGGGCCACAAATCATTCAAAATGGTGTAAAACATTCATTATTGCAAGTGTTTAACAGCAGTTGCTGCTACCAAACACAGGGCTGACCAGGATAGCTTTTCCCCATGTAATAAATAAAATAAATTAAATGCAGCATTTTTGTTTCTTTAAGTTATTTTTATCTGGTATTAAAATTAATTGTAATCATCTGGAACATTTAAGTGTGACAAATAAAATCAAAAACAAGAAACCTGCATGGACGTGAACAGGTTTTCACAGCACTCTATAACCCTCCGACACATTTATGCTGCCACCAACTGACATGTGATCTGTAAACAGATAAAATCAGGAAAAGAAGGAGGTTAAACTGAAAAGTTTCCACAAAACCTTTTATTTGGGAATCTTTATGTAAACAAGAAAAACCCACCTAAATCAGTCAATCACTACTCTAACTATTGTGACACAAATTCATGGAACTGCCTCACTGGACTACAGTTTATTAATTGACATGACTATTATTACCAGGTGTACAACATATTAAAGTTTCTAGTATAGTTTACCTTTAGAAAGACTGACGTATATTCAGAGGCCCAGATTAAGCTCAGCTCTTGTTAATTTGAAAAGGTAAATTGTAAAATGAACACATTAAACCAAATTTTACAAAACAAAAAAACAATAATCTACACAGTCTAGAAATAATAAAATCTTTCTGAACATCAAGATGAGAGATTAACAGCGCCCTCTGCTGGAGTTTTGCATTTACTTCACCAGTCCATGGTACAGACACTCCTGACACCCACTGCCTTCTTGTGTGATATTGTTAAAGAAATCCAACAAAATGATTCAAGATCTCAGAAAAACAATGACTGTCAAGTTCAGAAATGGGTGCAATTTCTGATGACTCGAGATGCAACATTTATCTCTACCAACAATTACATCAATATAAAATCCACCCATTCATACACTCATCATATGAACTACTAACACTATCCTTATGCCTGAGCTGTCTTTACAACATGTGATTATGTGCAGATCTGCAGCAAGCAAACCACTAATAAAAGGTCGCCACGAAAGGCTTGGTCCTTGTCTTGTGGCTTTGTGGGGAAAAACAATGACAAATTAGACTTTTTTCTTTCTTCTTCTTTTTTTTTTGCATTTTTCAACTACTTTAATTCAATTTTCACATTATAATCAATATATACCCCCATAACCAACTAGCGTGAAAGAAGAACTATGTACCTTTTACTCAAGTATGCTTTAGCTTGCTAATTTTGTACTACAGTAATTTTTACTCATTTAAAATGTCTCCATGGCAACCATGTGTCTTATCTGTGACTTCTCATGTGCCGAGTTAAACCATGTTGCCGACTGAAATCTTTTCCACAAGTTAAACATGAAAAAGGCTTCTCACCTGTGTGAACTGTCATGTGATCAGATAAACTACACTTCTGATTGAAACTTTTTCCACAAGTCAGACACTGAAAGGGTTTCTCACCTGCATGAATCATTATGTGACGACTCAAAGTACACTTCTGACTGAAACATTTTCCACAGCTCGCACATGTAAAAGGCTTTTCGCCTGTGTGAGTGATCATGTGCTTGGTTAAGTGCTTTCTTTGAGAAAAACTTTTTTCACAGCTCACACATGAGAATGGCTTCAACATTGTGTGACTCCTTGTGTGAATAGTCAAAGAATACTGATCAATAAAACATTCTCCACAGGTCTTACACTGAAAAGGCTTCTCACCCGTGTGCCTTCTCACGTGAATAGTCAAAGAATTTTTTGTAGTGAAATGTTTGCCACAAGTCACACACAAAAAGGGCTTTTCGCCTGTGTGACCCATCATGTGCATAGCTAAATGCTGCTTTAGACTAAAACCTTTTCCACAGGTCACACATGAAAATGGCTTCTCTCCTGTATGAACTCTCATGTGAACAGTTAGATTATTCTGTCTACTGAAACTTCTTCCGCAGTTCTCACATGAAAATGGCTTTTCACCTGTATGAACTCTCATGTGAACATTAAGTTCACTTGTATAACTGAAACCTTTTCCACAAGTAACGCATAAAAAAGGTTTCTGACCTTTGTGATCTGTCATGTTACAATTAAAATTATCTTTTCGAATGAAACACTTCCAACACGAGAAAGGCCTTTGGCATGTGGTACTTGATGTATTTTTAGTCAAGTCACTACTTTCAGGAAGGTTTTCCTGACCTTTTTGTTTTGAACCGTCAACATGCTGTTCGATTTTCTGATGCCTCTTTTGTTTCTTCTCTTCGTCTCTCTTTGCTCCAAAGTCATTAGGATTGCTCTTTTCCTGATTTTGGTTCTCAGCTTCAGCAGCTTCTTGGATGATGACTTGGATCCCGTTTGGTTCTGATTCAGTGTGGGATGTTTGCTCATAAACAGGAACCACCATGCAGGTATCAGTCTCCTGGTTTTGTAGTGTGAGCTGTTCTTCACCCTGATTGTAAACTTTCTTTTCCACTTTTATCTGCTGATGTTCTAGATCATCTTGTTCTTCTTTTATCTGCTGATGTTCTAGATCATCTTGTTCTTCTTTTATCTGCTGATGTTCTAGATCACCTTGTTCTTCTTTTATCTGCTGATGTTCTAGATCACCTTGTTCTTCTTTTATCTGCTGATGTTCTGGCTCTTTCTGTTTCAGAGAGGAGATCCTGTCCTGGTTACTTTGCTCCCTCGTATAAATGTTACGCTGTAGGTGGTCTGGGGAAAAAAAAGAAAAAAGAAAAATAAGTTATAAGTAAATTGGAGACGAATTTTATTGTTTGACATTAAAATCACCAGATACCTGAAATTCAAGAGTGGAGGCAGATAAATATCAAATATTTAAGTCCTCTTATTGTGTCAGTACTGTTAAGCATTCACAATATTGAAATGTTCTTTATCTTTATTCTTTGTCTTTATTTACTCTATACGCTAATTTTTTGCCTTGCTACTCCAAAGCTTTTGTTCTATTTCAACAATTCCACTTTTACAATGTTCTGGTCATTCAGGATAATATGATTTTATCTTCTGGTATATATATTATCTTCAACAAATTCTGAAATATTAAACTTTTAATGCACATTTTGGCACCATTGGAATGATTGGAAAACATCAGAAATTCCACCAAATTCTGCAGTCACTTTTTTCGCAGCTAACTACTTTCACATATTTTCAGCTAGAAATGACATTCAACATTTAAAATGTTGTCATAATCTTCGGCTACTTCTGCACGTTTCAGGTTTTTCATATATTTCACCATTTTCATAAAATGCTGCTGCAACTGAATGCATATTATCCTCATATTTTATCTCCAATGATGGAATTCTTCAGCTGCTACAGTGCTCATTTTAACTTTGTGAAAATTGTTCTGATTACTCGCTCAGTTTTCATTCTTTCTACACATATTACACAACAAAACGTAGGAATTAATGTCTAGATTCAGAAATCGCAACATTCATTGGTGTGAAAATTGTTGTTTTCTGTCAAATCACTCCAAAGCATCGCGGGACAATACAATACATTGCAGTTTCATTTTGTTTATGTGTGACTGTCACCAGTCTGATGTGATATGGTTATGCAACCATGCAGCAATGTGCGAGTAAGCAGATAAAAGAGACAGAGGGAAAACACAGAATCCACAACAAAACGCTTCAAGAATAAAAAAAAAAAACATTCACACATCATTGTCGCAGGAAATGCAATTTTTTTCTAGTTTCATTCTTCTTTTTTTTACATGATATGAGTTATTTATTTTGTATTTATTACTAATTATAGCATTTTTAATACTTCTATTATTATTACTATTATTAATATTATTATTATTATTTGATCTAGCCGTGTATAGTTCTATTACTTCTGTTTTCAAATGTGAGTCTGTAATTACAAGGGGGCAAAGCAGTGAAAAAAGAAAGAAAAATAAAGCACAACTGAGGTCTTAGCACCACATGCTTAGCACCACTGGCTCCATTTTCTTTTTCCAAAATTAAGCGGTTTGAACAGTATAACTGTGAGGCCTGTGTTCAATTTCCTGTTAAAAACATTTATACAGGAGTGGAACATTTACTAAAATGATCATCATACAGAAAGCTTCTACATTTAGACCTTAACCTTCATCCAAACTGGTGTTTCCTACCTATCCGGTGTAAAATAATCCGGGGAGTCCGGGAGAAATCCAGCAGTCTGCGCTGATCATCCATCTCTTCCTCCGACTTGACGATAATTTCTTTAAATTCTGTGAAAGTTTCTTCAGCGGGAAACATTAAATACACTGAATGCATTTTATTTTTTTACAGGAAAAACACTAGCACATTCAACAACAGATCGTGGACCGTCTTCTTCTTCTATGAATGTTGGTATCCACATTGTTGCTTTACCGCCACCTTCTGGATCACACGAGCATCAGGTCTAAAAACGTATAAGGTTACTTCCTTTTATTATGAGCAGTTCTCTCAAAAAACGTAAAATACTATTCTTCTTTTCAGCTTCATCTAAATAAAACAAATGCGTTAAATTTCAGCTCCCTAAGTTTTCTTACATCCATGATTCATGTTTTCCACTTGACTCATATTTCCATTAAAGTAGCAGTAAAAAATATATAATTAGATAATCATCTATTATCCCCTAGTTCTTCTGCTCCTTGTAAACTTATTTATTTTTTAAATCTGTATAGCTGTCATTTCGATGCATTATCCCCCCTGTCTTTGCTGCTGCTTTGTGTTCCCTAATATATATATATAATTTCACTTTCAGATTTGAACACAGCTTCTTTCATTAAAATATGGATTAACAGGTTGAGGATTGGGCATACTAGTTGAAATAGTGGTTTAAAAATAATAGGGAAACATCCATCAGGTGATTGTTCCAATTGTGGGGAAACAGAAAGAGTAGAACATGTGTTTTTGTAGAAAATATATATAAAAGAGAGGAAGGAATTGGAATGGGTAATGGGGAGTTCAGTAACTATGGCTTATTTATTAAGGAAACCTCAGTCAGGATATAATTCTAGCACTTATTAAATATTTAAAAGATACTAAATTAGCTGAGGTTAGCATGCACACACACACACACACACACACATTTAGTATGTGTGTGTGAGTGTATGAGTATTTAATTTAGTTATTTTAAGATTGAAGATATATAGGAAATTAATTTCTGAATTACATCTCCGTCCAGTTGATGGCGGTAATGCACAAAGTTTGTAAGCAGCCAGAAAACTCTATGCAAGAAGGAGAAGAAGAAGAAAAATAAGATAAAGAAGAGAAAACGGAAGGAAAGAAGATGGCGGATGGTCTATTTTGTTGAATATTGTTTATCAACGAACAGTTAATCCTGCTGAAGCAACTTTCACAGAGTTTAAATGAAATATCGTCAAGTCGGAGGAAGAGATGGACGATCAGCGCAGACTGCTGGATTTCTCCCGGACTCCCCGGATTATTTTACACCGGATAGGTAGGAAACACCAGCGGTTGGATGAAGGTTAAGGTCTAAATATCTGAACCTGTTTTTTATCAGAATCATTTTAGTAACTGTCTTCTTCCCGTATAACTGATTTTTAACAGGCAAATGAACGGAGACATCACAATCACGCTGTGAAAAAGGCTCATATATGTAGAGAAAATGGAGCCAGTGATCTCAGGCGTTATATCGAGAAACGCATCGCTCTAAACTCTCGCATATTGATGAGAAAACGGACTGAACTATGACCGAAGATCAAACTTTTGAAGTTATTTGTAACATTATCACGTTTCTTAACCATGTAAGCCGTAAAACGGTGGGTTTTATTTCGCAGATTACATTAAATAAATGCGGTTTTTACACCTTTATTGACATATGAGTCGAACGTTTTTCACCGCGGTAAAGTTAACAGGTGTTACGTCAATCCGCGTTTCCCCATCAGATACGGTTCCCCCTTCGTCTTCTTGCCGCTCCGCCCCGCCCACGCGGCAAAATAGGCGCGTGCTCGTGATGAGCACTGAGAAAGCACGCGCGTAGCAAGCACGCGCTTGTTCGGCGCGCTTGTCTGAGGAACTACGGACACCGTGAAAGCTCAAACAACATGTTTCGGCAAAGTTGTCACACTTTCTTCACGTTTTTGCGGGAAACTAATAGTAATAAAACTAATAATTATAATAAATATATATGTTATACATATTATAATAATATATATTTTATACATATATTATAATTATAATACATAATATATATATATATTATAATTATAATACATAATATATGTTATAGTTATAATTATAATATATATATATATATGTTGTATATATTATAATTATAATAGATAGATAGATAGCCTAGTGCTATATGAATTAAAAACAGGGCAATGCAATTTAATGCTCAATATTACCCATCAGATACCGTTTCCCCTGTTTTAAAGTGGGGGAACGCTATCTGATGGAAATAAATTTCACATCAGATAACGTTCCCCCTGTTTTACAGTGGGGGAACGGTATCTGATGGAGACATTTCACCCATCAGATAGCGTTCCCCCTATGTTAAAATCACCCATCAGATAGTGTTCCCCTTGTTTTACAGTGGGGAAACAGTATCTGATGGACATATTTCACCCATCAGATA